AAATTCTGTACATATATACGTACATCACCAATCAATCTTATGATATAATCAACGGAATGAAAAATAGACTGAATGATTCTATCGATATTTAAACCTATTCAAGTGATTTCTCTCAAGTTTTCATGGCATCATGTATGGATTATATGGATTTTCAATTAAATCATTGATGAGAAAACAGATCACTGTTTCTTCACCTACGGTCACACCTTCATCCTTATTGAGACGAGGAAGACACCATAAATTACCCGAACCTGTCGGAGAGTTATGTGACCTGGTTTGCATTGTGAATTTATCCTTATTTGATAAAATCCTCCAGTGGTTACGTAATGTCTAGTATAGTGTTTCGAACGAAGGTGAACTAAGTCACTTTCTCTGTAGATCTACGATTCCTGATACACATACATATAGGTAACGAACAACGTAAATCAACCCGCTAACAATGATCTGATTGTTGGTGTGATACGTTTATGGTACTATAACTTATTACAACTACATTATCGAGCTTATATCAGATCATTATCAACAGGTGATACATTATTGTAACTATATCAGTACTATTCATTGAACTCTGGACCAGGGAAAGAAACATCTTGATTCCATGATCATTTTGCGGTTAGTGGTTATTTCTTTACAATTGAGAATAATACGGTAAATCATCAGTTGTTGATGTGATATTTTTGCTGTATTATACCTTTTGCTCAAATTCTGGAAGTGGTTATACATATATACTATTTTTTCTCAAACTATATCAAGAATATTTATGGAGAAATTCATTGAATTTTCATTGTCATAATGCAATATCACGCGATCCCATTCGATTGACTCTGAAATACGATGTTGTAAAAAGTATTGTTCCTGACTTTTCATCTGAACATGAAGTGTTTATGATTATATACTTATAGCGAAACGTTCATTCCACGACTTTCCATGTTGTTATGAGTCAGTGTAATCAGATTTCTTATATGGTTTGTTAGGAAATCGGTTATCACATATAAAATATAATAATATATCAAAATCAATCCACTACAATGATTTTCAGTACGTGTTTTTTTGAGATCACAGTGATACTTTTTTATTCCATCATCAAAATATCTGATGAAATGTATATTCTTGCAGTCATCGCATAAGTATAAAATGGAAGATACATTATCTTGCCATAAAAAATATGAAATTTGAAACTCTACTGGTTGATATGAGTACGACAAGTTGCCGATCATATAATACCTCTATATGTTTTAGTATCATATTAGCATATATAATCAATTGGCACCATTGCCATCAATTCCGGCGCTCCACAAGGATCAATTTTGGCACCAACATTATTCCTTCTTCATATCAATGATCTGTTGGGAGTAACGACTTGCCCCATCCACAGCTCTGCATAATATGATAGTACCCTCCATACTGCGTTCTCTTCCTGAATTCCCATTTCTTTCCACGAAACTATGAACTCATGTCGCAGGCAGGTCAATGCTGTCAATGAAGACCTTGCTGAAATCACAGCCTGGGGAACCAACAACCTAGTTGAATTCAACGCCACCAAAACTCGAGCCTGTATTTTTTCTAGAAAGGCGGAACTCAGTATACCCGACATTGTAATGTCTGGCACCACCAAGCCCACCATATCTATGCCCGGTATTTCCATCAGCAACACTCTCTCATGAGATTATCATGTCAGATCCATCGCCAAAGCTGCTTCACAAAAACTCGGATTCTTGTTCCGTGCGAAAAGCTAATTTACCCCTCAACAGCTTCTCATCATCTACAAAGTGCAGATACGGCCTGTTCTAGAATACTGTTCCCACATATGGGGTTCAGCACCAAAACAGACGCTGATGCTCTTAGATTCCATCCAGAGAAGAGACATTCGCCTGGTGGGTGACGCCACACTCACTCACTCTTTGACATCATTGGAACACGGTAGAAAAGTCGGCGACCTTTCACTTTTCAATCGATTCTTCAGCAGGAAATGTTCTTGGGCAATAGCAATACCAGTCAGACGAACTAGACAAGCCCAGTCAGCACATCCTTTCGTTGTCAACCTCGAGAGATGTCGAACAGCACTTTATCAAAACTCCTCCATCCATAGAACGGCTAGGCTCTGGAATTCATTGCCTGAGGAAGTATTCCCAACAACAAATAATCTCCAGAGGTTCAAAAAAAAATTCCAATACCTACCTCCTATCCCTATCCTCCCTAGGAACGCACGATGTTCTTTGAACATTACAGGGATTCCCTTTCGTGCGCTTCAAGCGATGAAAAAAAAAGGACAATAGAGAGAAAAGTTATATGTGGAGTGTGAACGTGATGATGATATTGTGCCAGGAATAAGATGTTTAGATATTGATTATTGTCGTCGATGACGTTGGAAAACATTTTCATTATTTCATGAGCATTCCAAGTATGCTCCACTTTGCATTCCCAACGAACAATTATTATTGGAGAAACTATTATCAATTCATTTCGTGACATCAAAGAACCATCATACATAATCTATATGAAAATGCAGGAGTTGGAAAATCAACAAACTCATTATCTTTTCTATTATGTGAGGTAATGAGTTCACATTGTTTGATTTCATATCCATGTTGGAGGAAGGTATAGTCATTTGAGACATCAGATATCTTGCTAATGTAAGGATCTGAAATGAATTATTTATTGCTGGTGATTCTTAATGGCTTCAAACTACGTCAATTTTCTGAAGTGGAATTGATAGAAAATTGAGAGGAACCATTTCAGTTATGAATGATTTATGAGTGGTTATACTGGCAGAGTTATCTGAATGTTAACTGCCCGGAAAGTATTCAAAACTTTCTTGAAATAAGGAAAACTGTTGTCACTTCGACCACATCACCCATCTGTGGTCGCAGTGATGGGGCAGTACTCGCCCCACTCATATGGAACCTTACAAAGCTAGCAGGGACTGGAACCATCATATTTATATAAATCTAAGAAGAGAATATCCCTTTGTTGAGACCTCAAATGAGAGTTCTCTCTCTTCAGAACTTTTCATCTACACTCACTGGCTGAAAAAACCGGCCATGATTTGATCATCATACATATAGTAAATCAAAGTTACTATTACTATTTCACTCTTTACTTCTCGAAATCGAGTTATTCAACTTGGCTTCATGCTTCGGATTGAAGTTCGTTTCCTTCTTAACAAAATTGTTTCCGTTTCACGTCAATATGTTATTTTCAAGAGAAGAAACGAGGGTTTTAAGAAAGTATTGTATTTTCATTAACAATGATCACAACCTGAATAATTTTATTGATTACCAACTTGAAGAATTGATGTCACTCTTTTCTACCTCTTCCCTCACTACTTACTAGAAAATTCCTATTCACAAAAACCAAACAGAGCTGACCTGTAGTCAATAACGAGAAACATTCAACCCTCGTAGCATAGAGCTGATGAAATTCCTCAACTGGTCTTGAAGAAGTGGTTGAAATTCTCCTTGAAGAGAAAATCGTAGTAATCGTATATGTTTTGAATTATGGTTAATGAAAAATCTTGAAAATCCCATACTTTCTTGAAACATTTGAATCTTCTCATGAAAAAGGAATATTGAAGTGAATCAAGAACCATTGGGTTGAGAAGGAACGAAAAAGGATCACAATTCAATTCAAATCAAGATGAAGCGGAAGGTTGGAGAATGGTTCTGAATTATTTTTCATAAACATAATAAGATTCCATACTTTCCTAAAACACTTGTATCTTCTCTCAAATAGTAATTATTGACGTGAATAAAAAATCATCGTTTCAAGAAGGGATCACACTTCAATTCAAAACATAATGGAGCTGAGTTCAACCACTCACCTTTTCCACAGGAAGTTAGGAAGCTAAATGTGGAGAAGTAACTTTTGTTTTTCCCTGTATAATGATCAAGCCGTCAGCTTCTCTCAGGACCTTATATTCAGGCTAACATTCCAAAACGTGAATAGAGGTTTTGGTCAGAATTACACGAAAATCAGACATGAATTGAAAAAGTTACAGGGTGAATAATTTGGCAAAATTTTTTGGTGGCCGGTTTTTTCTGCCGATGTTTGTATATTTGAATTATTCAATGAAAAGAATTCTTGACAAGTGAATATAGGTACTACTGAATGAGCCTTCTTTGATTTGAGGTATCACAAAAGAGATAGTACCACTCAATATAATGAGTTGGGGTTTATCACCCGCACACTGATATATAGGATGATTCACAATTCGATGATTCCTCCAACCCTCTTTTTCCCAAAATTGGGTTTACATGATTCATGAGGACAGAATGGAAAGAATTGTATAAAAAGACAGATGCCTGCCAAGTTTTAGAAGATTTGATCAGTTTTTTCAGTGACAATTTCAGAATTTTTTTTTCTTCACCTAACTCACAGACGCTGTAGCTTGAAGGGAATGAGTTTTAGGACACATGTTTATATGGAGAAAAAGTCTTTTTCTGATTCCAATAATATGTCCTCGAAATATTCACATCGAATTTTGAATCACCCTGTATAGTGGTTCATTAGGTTCTTCCTAACTCTTGAACAGTTGCGTCAAACGGAGTTTTTCAGATATTTTCAACATCAGCGCATAGATCATCAGATAATTCGATTCCTTCCATAATTTCATGTACAGGGTATTAAAAGCTCGAGAATGTGTTTGAACAACATAAACTTCCCGTCGGCACTGCATTCAAAGTTTTTCTATAGAACACAATTGAAATTGAGAATATCCGTGATATGTATACATGTTTTGAATCAATCAGATCATTTGTCTACCTCTGGTTTATTTCTCCTTAAGTCAATAATCATTATATTGTGTGATATTTGTTTATTCATTTCTATTTTGAGCACACATAGAAGTTATTCTTCATATATCATGTCAATATGCTTTCGTCCATATGGATAGCAATTGGACTTCTTTCATGAACATAAACAATGCAAGTTCGCCAATAACCTTCATCTGATATCAATAATGAATAAAATCTACAAGGAAAATAATTATCAATAGCACTTACCAAGGTTTTCATGTTTGTCGTTTGGTCTGGTTCAACCCACACTTGTTAATGACTATTGTTCAGGGGTGATACTGAATCCAGCAGCTTTGAGGATATCTTTATAATAAGGACCTCCAGACCCCCACCAGGGTACTTCTTGCACCAGCTATCAGCAATTCTTTTATTGAGCGAAACCTGATAATACTTTCTATGTTTGTATTTTCTAATCAAATTATTGATACTGTTACATATTGTTTTACGTCACAGTTTAATGCAGATCATAGCTTCTTTGTGCTTCGTGCTTTGTGCTGAGCTTTTTCTCGGTGATTGAGAATGTTCGATGCGCAAATAGGTTGACATTGAGGTTGGTGATTTTTTGAACTGAAATGGAGTTGCAGAATCAAGACTGAGTCATCGATTTATGTATATTGAAGAAAACTATGAGTGATTGGGTGCAGGGAATCACTTTTTCACCACTATAGGTATAGAACCTACCTTAATTTACTCTCTTTCCAGGCGTGAAGTGTGGTTTTACTATCAAGGAAGTTTCAGTAATTTCATAAACTACTAGTCAATAAAAACCTGACCACCTCTGTTATAATCACGCCAAATTCACTTTTTTGATACGAGATTCGCAAGGATGGAACTCGAATCTAGTGAGTATTTATCAATAACGACTTGTCATAAGCTGTTATCATTATGGCTACTAGTCTTCCATTAGAAATGATAAGAAGTGCATATGGTCTATATTTCAACCTCACAGAACTATGATGATTAGAATATAATGCTGTTGTTGAGAAAAATTCAATATACACCTTGGTAGTGAAGAATATTATCATCATACCTGTATGATGATTATATTTCAATAACAATTTCTTCCTGTTTCTCAACCACAAGGAACTATATATCAACTGAATTTTGTGATAACATACCTACTTAATTGTTGATAAATGGAAATTCAGTTCTTATGAACATATAGAACAGTGCATTTCAATTGAAAATATCCACTTCAAATAACATATGAAACACCGGAATACCACGAAAGACATCATATCGCCTTGAAATGCAGAGGTCGTTATTCTGATATATAAAATTTCACAAGAGAAACGTATACCTATTCTATCACTTACAAAAATTGAGATATTGGAAATGAATAGGCCATACAAATGTAATCAAGTGATTTTTAATAATAATTCAATATTTGTTTCGGTAATGTCAGGATGGAAAGCTCCTTATCCATATTTCAGAGGAAGTTTCCACATTTTATTTCTTCGATGGGATGGATAATTTTTGCGGTGAACTCAGCAGGTGATTGGTAATTTCATCGAGTTCCCAAATATATTTGAAAATAATTTCAATATACGTGTTATAAGGATACAGTGTCACTGATTATTAGTTTCTCTCCCAGTTTTATGGAAGTATGACATTTTTGGATCACAGAGGATATTTCATTATTATTTACTATAATCATTAAATTTGAACAAGGCAGGCGAGGCCTGTTTTCTTATATATTATAATTCTTAGAAACTATATAGAACTCATAACAATAAAACAAAAATGAAGGAACTTCGAATAAATATGAATGAATCAAAATACATTGGAATGAGGTTAAAGTAATGTGAATTATTGGTTGAGTATAGTGTTGAATGATTTTCGAGCATGGGGACTCATTTCTCAACTTTGCGAAATTTTCTACAGATTCTCTGATTTATTTCAATATTTTTATATCATTTCAATCCATAAAAAAACTTTCAGAATGTTGTCTGTGGAGGTATTTATATTAGATCTGTTAATAAACCGCTTCTTGATATTTTCGAATGGCCGATGTTGATAATCACTTTCCTATTTAGGTATATTTTGTATTTGATACCCAATATTATACTGCCTGACATATCGAGCATTATGAAATGATGGTATTTTTCAATTTGAAGTACTGATCTGTTTCTTTTTGTGTCATTGGTACAGATACAGATTATTTTTGTAGATGACCAGAAGAGGAGCAATCGCCCCCCTATTTCTGAAATGACGACCATGATATGGAGATTCAGATGTACATACGATACCTGTTGATAGGAAACCCTTTCATGGGTCAAAATCACCCTATTTTGGGAGATACATGACGTGTTTTTAGTTCTTGCACAATCGCTATTTGGTTATAATTTTTGAATCACTTTGTATATTCCATTTATACTTGGTATATGAATTTCACTTATTGATCAACATTTTATATATGGCAAAAAAAACTTGTTCTGCTAGAAGAAAACAAAAAAAAACACACACAATGATTCGTCCTGATATAATTTTTCTCCAGAAATAAAGTCAATCAACATGAAAAACTTGATCAGTTTTGTCCTAACTCTGCTTCAGTTATAGATTATCCTTCATCGAACTTTTTTCATTCATAGAAAACTGGAAAGCTTCAATTTGATATTATTTTTGGAGATATTCCTTTTGAACTAGAAATATTCCATTTTCATCCTCATATGATGGAATAACCGTTTAATATAACTACTTTCATCATGATGACATTGGCATTGACATTTGACATTGAATTTCCACATCTTTATGTAAGTGGGCTGTTTTATTATACTAGATACAAAGTTTCAGTGAAAATAGCTCATGCTTTATTCGAGAAGGAATATTTTCAGATATATTCATGAACACAAACAAATTGAAATACCCCTTCATACCGGGTGACACAGGAGACATGTAGCAGCAGTAGCAGTATTTTCATTTAAAGAGATGAATGAAACGAGAAAGAGTCACATTTGCATCTGCGAATTATTCGTGGTACGTCCAATGATCTGGCACAGGAATTAACAAACAAGTTTCAAATACAAAATTGTTGTGTACAGGAATGAGGAAGAACTAGGAATTGATTCACTTTAGACTTCAATTAGAATCACAATATACCTATCTACTCCCAATCGTATAAAAAAACGAGTGATTCATCATGAGTTTATATAATAATCTAGGCATGACTACCTACATTTAGAATTCTCTGAATTTATGCACGAAAATACAATTTCATTAGAAATGGATTCAAACCTTCGGAAATCGAATGGAAAATTAGACATACAATTTCGTTTCACATACATATATATTAATATATTATGTATCCGCGGCTGTCTCACTGGCATCGATGAATTCAGGAGGTTTATCTGATCTTATAGAAAATAATTTCCATCTCAATACTGAATTAACAACAAGGTTTCCTTTTCGTGGATGTATATAAAGATGATGAATCGAATTCACCCTGGAAATATACATGTGAATGGTGTGATTTTGTGATCAAATTCGAGCTGGCACTCACTTCCCACCCACTCACTGGCCTGCCAACTCTTGTACTCATTCGAAGTATTATCAACATTGATATTTCAGGAAGCCGGATTGATATCAATGTGATTTCCAACTCCAAAAATTGTGGGAGCACAAAATCCGACCAGTTGTTTGGCAACTCCCCAATCTCTTGGTCCTTGGTTGAAAGGGATTCGTTTTTACCCCTCAATACCTAGTGAACTTGAATAATAGTTGAAAGTAATTTCATCATCCTGCCAAAGAATATCCATAATTGATTAAGTCAGGAAAACAAAACGCAATATAGCTGCACCCTATCAATTTCAAAATTCTTCAAGCTACTATACTTGGAAAATCTCTTTCGCAATACTTCGTATCCTGCATGGTACTGAGTAGTACTGACACTTTTTGCATCACTTTTTATGCGTTGCGACAATTATTATGCTAAGGTGAACAATGTGAATTTGTAGGAGCACCTGTCTAATGAAAATTATTAATTCATGCGTTTTAAATAATCAACAATGGTGTAGCGGTTTGCAGGGTTTTAATTAACGACTGATTTTTATTGAACGATCAACAAGGTATATATTTCAACCGTTAATCAACCTACAATCTCAAAACAATAATAATTAGGGAAACGAATACTTTTATCTGTATTCGTCTATATATACGAGTCGATGCAAATATTTAGCCAGGAAAGATGTTGTTTTCCTTCTGTCATCTAACATTGTTATTTATTCCTGAACATTTTTGGAAATAACTTTCAGTTTTTACTCCTCATTGGCATATCATTTCTTTTTGAGCATTCAGGAAATTTCGTAAATGGATTAAAAAGGAATTGAATATTCAAGTTATGATGGAATTTCATAGTAGTTCAATGTCACCTTAGTAAATGAGTGAACAGTCCGATAACCCATAATTTTTTTTTAGTGCTATGAGAGAGTATAATCATTGTTTAAACAAAAAATCAATGATCTCAGCAAAATTCATTAATACCCAAGCAACACAGAAATGTCCTAGGTACGTCCTTTTTTGTCCTGCGGTACAAGGACATAATTGGGAAATCCAGGGGATGTCCCGCAGTGGTTGTCCAGTTAAGAAATGGCCATTTTCGCAAACAGACATCGTAAATGCATAACATACCTTTCAAACACCCAAGAATGATAATGATTATACATGAAATCCCAACAGAGTTGTATTTATTCAGGTTTCACTTTTGTGCTGTTCATAAATCTGTTCAGTACATCAATATTCACAAGGCATATTAGCCAATGGAGTTAGGTGCGTGCCTGATGAGAAAAAGGTCCTGGGTTCAATCCCTACTCGACGTACATTTTTTTCTGTCGAAGGGACGTCCTAGTGATATCCTGTCTTCGTACTTGGGACATTCCTGGAACGTACCAGCAGGACATCCCTTGCATGTCCTTTTTATCGGAAAGTGGATGTCCCTAGGACGTCCCTAGTGTGTACTTTGTCCCGACAAAGGATATCCCTGGGATGTCCTAGTATAAAATTATTGACGTCCCTGGGGAGTTCTTAGAATTTACTTATGTTGTCAGGGGAGTCAAATGAGAACGTGACACCTAGATAAGTTATTCTGTTCAGCTTGATAATTGGGTCAGAAAATCAATTTTATTCAGTTTCAGAATTCCCTTCTCGAAAACAACACGAATACATATAAACATAGAATATTTCCATTCATTCTACATCTGCTCGAGTTCGATTCGTCCGATTTGAACTATGACTCATAGACTTATCTAAATCGCCAATTCCATAAGGAGAATGATAATCTACTCAGGAGACTGAACTATTGAAACTGATTCATGCGCAT